AGAGCTGCCAATATATGAATAAGCACGTCCATGTCCGATTCAAACGGAAAACTCTGTACAGAACTTAACTTCTATACGTACTTGCTACCAAATGGGTAGTGGTTTAAGTGCTTTTTCATTAAGAATTCTAATAAGTTGTTAACAAGCGAGCCGTGAACATTCATAAACATTTATGACGTTACGTACAATAGAATCGTCAGTGAAATCGAAAACCATAGTAATGCATTCGTAAGTTTGGTAAGGTTTATTGTAAATTAAAAAAAAAATATTACCATGTTAAAGTTAAGGCAATTATCGGATTGCCAAATAGCAACACTGTTGGTGGGAGCAATGGTAGTAGTGGGGACGTGACATAATAAAAAAGGCGGTAGTCTGAAAAAAAACGGAACAGAAAGCAGCGTATTCAGTAGTGAGCAGATATCTAAAGATTGTACAAATGGAGTTACAAATAATACAGAATTAAATGAACTATGGCAATCTGTGTATTTATTTCCCGGCTTTGTCCCCGAGTCATACAGTTTGGAACCTCGCTCTTAACAGTTTACCATATCCTATTCCAACGATTAACTCTCTATTATTAGTAGACTGATAAAACGTCGTGCCCAAAACACGAAAATAAAATTTGATTCATAATTTGATAAGAAAAATCGTAATTGCTTATCTTACAGTATATGTCCATTTATCAAAGTTTGTTTTGTTTATACATCAAACAATGATATAACTGGACATATAGGTCACTGTTTACTGAACTCGCTGAATGTTTGTATGATGATTAACGAAATGGATAATGTTATCGACGCGATTTCGAATTTCGTGTTCCGATTTTTGTGATACGTATACCTACGTAGCTTTTGCAAAAGTAACTTTGAATGTCAATGATTAGGGCACGGAATTTTCCGTGATAGCCTGAGTGGGAGATTGGTGTCGAATGAAAGCGATAACGTTCATCATGGAGCAACAAAAATGAGGAGAGATTACGACATGTATTTATCGCAAGCCATCCGACGACCCCTCGATCCTGCGAGATCTCATGAGTCTCCTCTAATGCGATAATTGATTATTGTGAAATACAAACCATTACAAAGAGATAAGACTACAGAAGCAGCCCCCTAAGCTTCGTTAAAAGACGGGAATGTTATAGCCCGTAGATTGAAGAAAATTCTTTTCCATGTTTGATACTCCAAAGAAGAAGCTAGAACACTTACCAAACATAGGTAGGTACAACATACAAAAAAGAACAACAATACAAAGGTATCATGGGAAAAATGTCTACAAGAATACGAACTTCAATGTCTATTAAAATCTGGTCTAGTGGTATAGAGCTGAGGGTCACTAACCGGTGTCTGTTCATTTCCGATACAGACCGATGTTTGATTACGTAATAGCTATTTAGTGAGTCTGTGGGCATCGAGGATTTTAACCAGGTTGCATATTGTACGCACCTGTTCGCTAAGTTTTTGGCACGATAACTTCAAGATAAGTTGGCATATCAAGGGGTGATAAGGCGGTTTAAGCGAGATTTCGTTAATACGCGACATTTATCTTTGTAATTAAAGGTGCGTTTTATTTGGTATTAGCATCAACAGTTCGATGTTTTTAATTGAACTTCAATTTAGTTTACTCCATTCAAATAGCTAAAGAAGTTTCATTGTTATGATATTTTTTCCAAATTTTGAACTTTAAATGGGTCTCCTCTGGTAAAATGTCGCTTATACCAAATAGCCTCACAATCCTCAATATGACCACCAAGAGATTTCAATTTGTCGTATTACACCCAAAGCTATATCAACTTTTTGGAAATTATGTTCTGCTGCCTACACCACCTACTGCCTGCTGCCATAAATACGTCGCGTCGTATAACAATATTACACCAAAAGATGACACTAAAAATTTTGTACTTAGTAAAAATATAATTGATACTTTATCAAACGATCTGATTACATTCGAAAATAAATCGGTTTCTGTAACACTTATTAAGCTGTACATTTTATTAACAGATATTTCTTTGTGATAACTTATTTTTTTTGGTGACTGACTAATTGCAAGAATACTTTTCCGGGGATCGTCCAAAAAGAAATTTTACATGCAAACCTTGTCCAGACCATTAAGAACAAACTACCTAAATAGACTGAAGCTTTTGAGGGATTGCACGGGTCATCTCATTTAGCATGATAAAATGTTTTCCATGTAGACAACATAAGATAAAAGAGAGCACCATCTTTATGAGAAACTAGCTGTACTCGTCCGCTTCGCTGGGCATTTAAAATTAACATTATTATTTCTCACATCATGAACGCCCCCGCAACTGATGTAGGGAGTCCAACACTCATATAAATATTAACCTATCAAGTACCAAGATTAACCTATCAAGATACCAAGTTTCAAGTCAATCGGATCTATGGTTCAGTAGTTATAACGGAACATCCGTAAAAACCACTGTAGTTTTATATATCAGTATAGATCCATCCCAATTCGTTCAGTAATTTTTGCGCGATTAACAACAAACAAACAAAGTTTTACGTTAACATTTTTCGTATGAATTATATTGTTACTGTAACATTTATACTGTGTTAGTGTGACAGCAAATCTAAATTCCGCTTTCCTATGTAAATGAAGCAGCAAACAGTCCTTTGCGAATACAAAGCGCTGCCAACGCGCTCACTATGTTATAATCAAATTATACACTTGCTTGGCTTTGTTGTTGTCCTAGATGTAGACAACTACATTACAATACTATTATACAATATATCTTACGTAAATACTCGTTTTCTAAACTTAGTTTAGTTCCAATGAAAATTTAATTAATATAATTCACGGAACCCACTTTTTCGTTTTAACTAGGTCTCTATAGTGTTTGCGTTCAGATATATCTATACTATATTAATATCTATACTATTATGTTTTATTTGTACTAAATAGTATACTTTAATAGTATATACTAGTGTAATATTTGGCTGTAATAGGGTACTGTGACTTATAGTAAGATTCCAACCACTAACTATTTTTAAAAATGACGTACAAATCTTTGATATGTAATTCGTATTCAGTAATGCGGCTATGTGGGCTTTGAAATTGTACAAGCGGGCACCATTTTTTCTGCGCAAATATTAAGCTTCCATGACAACACCAATTCTTATAACTTTAGACACACCTGTCTAAAGTTATAAGCTATTTATCTTTCAGGGGATAGAAGCTGGATATAGGCCTCGCTGAATCCTCGCAACCTATCCTACGCTGCCTAAACTCAGCCCAATCCCGTGACCTTCAACAGGTCATTGGTCCACTTAGTGGTAGACCCACGGTAAGGAACCTTTTTTTCTCAGTCGTTTCCACTCTTCACAGAGTGGTCGCGGTCATCAGTTCGGGTGGTGGTGCGCTTCACAAAACGTAGCCATTCCTCGCGTACCGCGGCCATGTTTGTACTCTCGTTGACGGGACCCTTTAGAGCCATCTTTACTTGGTCAGTCCATCGTAACGGTAAGGGACCTAGTAACCGCTTAAACCCAGTTTTTTTTTGCTTAGATGGGTGGACGAGCTCACAGTCAACCTGGTGTTCAGTGGTTACTGGAGCCCATAGACATCTACGACGTAAATGCGCCACCCACCTTGAGATATAAGTTTTAAGGTCTCAAGTATAGTTACAACGGCTGCCCCACCATTCAAACCGAAACGCATTACTGCTTCACGGCAGAAATAGGCAGGATGGTGGTACCTACCCGTGCGGACTCACAAGAGGTCCTACCACCAGTAATATACCAGTTGCACTATGATTTTGCGTGGCCATCTAAGTTAATCAAAACACTGACTCATCAAACATTATCGTTAACAGGAAAGGTATAATCGAAGCGCACGCGCTCAATAACGGTAGGCTTTGCGCATGCACGATAACCGGCCATTGTGCCGCGCAACTGGAGCAGAAACGTAAAACGCCAATTCCCAAACATGCTATTATTTGTTGGCATTAAGCTGTTTTATTGTCTATGTCCAGTATTTATTTATCTTTATCGTATTCAGTCACGTTTTATTGTAACTATACTGAGACCGTAGAACTGATATCTCAAGGTGGGTGGCGCATTAACGTTGTAAATGTCTATGGGCTTCAGTAACCACTTAACACCAGGTGGGCTGTAAGCTCGTCTACCCATCTAAGGAATAAAAAATTTAAAAAAATATTGTTTTCGTTATATACTCGTAAGTTTATATTTTTTAGATTAATATTCTTAATGTGACCTATTATTAACCGTGTCATTATTATGTTTGCTAACAGAAACTTCTGTAGTGAATGGAATAGGGAAGAATCTCCACCGAGCGGGCGATTGTGCTAGCTAGAATAACGGTCCATATGAGGTATTGTGTACGTGCAAACTTATCTCCAAAGTATCGTTAGAGCGATTCAAGTTTTGGCTAGACTCCTTCTATTCTGTGATAGCTACAGTACCAATGTAACAACGTATGTACCTAGTTAATGTCGAACGTTTCCAGAAAAGCTAAGGAGGAGTAGTAGAGAGTACAAAAATCATATTATGTAGGGGCTGATACGTTTAGATCAGATCTTAAATATGACATTAATTCTCAAGGGCGTCCAACCCTAAGTAGCCCCCATAAATTTATGTAGATATACTCGTAAATAGGCAAAGAAAAACAGTTGCCATTTTCAGGTCTATCTATAAACCGATTTTCTTTTCTATTTTTTCTTAATAGCTATTAAACAGCTGTAGTATAATCAGTTAATCAAAAAATACAAATGTCATTTTTTTTCTTCAAAAATTTCCTACTCTTCATACTAGATTTACAAGGCTGCTCAGATCTGTCACAGCATCATACCTATTTATACCACGAAGTAATCATTTGGCCCTTTTAGAAAGACAGGGCAGTCTTTGTGTTAATGAAATTACTACTGTATATTTGAGCCAATTAAAAGAAATAATAACTATATCATTTCATTGTTAGGTAATTTATAGTTTTTGAAGTTTTTTGTTTATAGTAGTAAGAAACTATACCTTGTGTTACTGGAAGGGCTACTGAGAAACGAAGATCCGCATCAAAACCTGAAACAAATCATCAAAGTTGAAGCTCATGATCTGAATTCATCAATGCCTGATGGTTTAGCATAAAGAAAGCCTTCGCGACTTCGTACAATAAGTAAGTACCCTGCAAATGTTGTATAACTTACAAATAAAACATTGTTTTTTTACTACAACTATTAACATTTAATGCGGAACTAGCTGACCCGGCAGACTTCGTAGTGCCTTAATCGATAAATAAAAGACCTAAACATTTGTATAAAATAAACTTAAAACAAACAAAAGGAATCCGTCCGACCCATCCCCCATCAAAGGGAAAACAAAATTGTTATTTTTATTTAATTCCGAGCACTTTCATGTTTATCTACCTTTAAAACCTTCTCTGGACTTCCACAAATAATTAAAGACCAAAACTAGCCAAATCGGTCCAGCCTTTCTCAAGTTTTAGCGAGACTAACGAACAGCAATTCATTTTTATATATATATAGAAGATAGATAACTATTTTGAACAAGTTTAAGTGGCCAGAAATGGAAAGCACTATTTAATCCGTACCCCTGATTGAGTACAGTAAATTGCTAAGACAAACAGACTATGTTGTTAGAATGGTCACAACTGATACAGCCGTGTGGTTACCATGTAAAAATAATACTAATGTCAGGGTTTCCGTATCATTTTTCTTAGCAATCTTAGTTTATCTTAAGTGTACTATGATACGGACGAAGTACCCACTTGACAAATGGCAGACTGTCTTAAAAATTCGTTTTAGGACAAAAGATATTTTGCGAAACCAATTGACGTATCAGCCGATATACTTTCGTCTTTTGTTTTTTCGATTGCTTAGACGAGTGATAGCTGATAGATAGCTCGTGGTTGATCTGTCAGTTATTACGAAAATAATAAATACGACATTGTCCCCAGAACTGTTGAATCATGATTACCTTCTTGTAAATTTGTTGCTACAAGTGGACAAACATATGGGCAGGGCATATTGTAGCTGCCCACACAACCCAACTGCGTATTCCTGATAAAATACTATTAGACATTTTTCCATTCGCTAATCCAGGTTATGTGTGCCTTTCTGTCTACCTATAGTAGCCTCTTTTTTTATTCCTACCTATGCTGATCCTTGAGAGGCTATATCAGCTTTACCCTGGCGTGTAGGTAAGCTCTCGGGGCTCAAACCGGAGGTATTGCTAGCACTGGCCATAGCAAGAGCAGTGCTTCGCAGAATCTACCACTGGATCGCAAACGCGACCCACTCAGAAGATCCGGCGAGAAACTTAGCGGGCTCCAGTAGCTTCGAACGGTTAGTCTGCCTTCAATCTGACAGTTAGGCGAGCTTGTAAGTCTCTACCTGAAATAATTCGCTAACATTTACGCTAGCACTGAGTCTTTGAGCCCGGTTTAACACATTTTCATTATCACATTTCAACAGAAAACGTAATATCGTAACAATAAGTAAGACCAGACAACCTTGAAAGATTGATTGTGGTAGAAGGAAAAAGACCCGCCGGCCGGCCACCAAACCGTTGGTCGGATCAGATAACTGCGCTCACTGGACTGTCTGTTGCGACCGCCCTGAGAGAAGCCGAAAACCGAAGCAAATGGAAGCTGAGGGTACAAAGATCCACGAAGGGCTTTCAAGGACACGACCTTCAGTAATGAAGTATTCGACTAAGAAGAAGAAGAAGAAGACGTAATCAGTAAACGTTGAAAATACACTTTCCGTTTCAACCATTCCGCTGTATAAGTTCAAGGACTTATTTGGCTAACAAATAAAAACCTTCAGTCCCAATTAATGATCACATTAATCGCAGAAAACTAAGTCTTATTACCTTAAACTTAAAAGCGTAAATCGTGTCTACATGTAAACTACATCACGAAACAATGCTTGATTAGTTTAATATACACCAATTCGTATGGCGCGTATATATTGGGTGGGCACACGCGATTTTGATGCTTCTTTAAACTTAGCTTTAAGACTCAAATTGGTACGCGTAAATGTTTCGTTGCTATAGTTAAATCCTTTCAGAATCGTAAGGTCATGTTTTATACCCGCGAACCTCAATGTCATAATCAAATAAAAAAGTCATGACAATAAGACAATCGGACCTGTGATTGATATGGTCACTTAGTTTTTTTCTATGTTAAATTCGTCAACTATTTCGTGTCTTAGTGAAATATTTCGAAAATTTTGAATTTCGATTTTAATTCAAAAATGGACTTAGAAAGACCTTTTCCAGCGACTCTTAGTAATCAAATTACCAAAAGTAGCTTAAAAAAAGACAAACTTACCGATCGGTCTCTTTCACTCCGTTCCCTTCCGTCTTTTCGGTTTGAAAACTTTATTCGATGTTTTCCAAAACCCATTTTTTGGGTTGTCTCTATAATTCTAAAGGTGCGATATGTTGGTCTCACTTTCTTTCATATATTATTTAATTAAAGAGCACAGCTGAGTGTCGTCTTTAATAAAATATACCATTTTATGATAGGCAGAGGCTTGGCTCTGCCCTTGGCATTGCTGAAGTCCATGAGCGACAGTGACCACTTACCATCAGGTGGGCCGTATGCTCGTTTGCCTACAAAGGCAATAAAAAAATAAAATACATTATGGTAGCAGCTCACAGTTTTTTATCACGAAAATCCCTACACATGTAAATAGTAAACACGATTACTAGCATTTAATATTAAGCTAATGTCGACGTCACCCACAACACGTCATTACGGATCCTCCCGATCCATTATCCTCAAGCACCGGTCATCGTCCTAGTCGAACCCGTCGCTTGCGACGAAGGGCTCGACGAACGAATTAACCCACAGACACAGCCCACTGAGTTTCTCGCCGAATCTTCTCAGTGGGTCGCGTTTCCGATCCGGTGGTAGATTCTGCGAAGCACTGCTCTTGCTAGGGCCAGTGCTAGCAACACTCCGGTTTGAGCCCAGTGAGCTCACTAACATGTTAGGGCGAAGCTGAAATAGCCTATCAAGGCTATCAGCAAAGGTAGGAAAAAAAATGCTAATAAAAATATAATGTTTACAACAAGTTTGTCAAATGATGACCGCTACCGTGCAAATGCAGCAAGCAAGGAAGCATGGTAGTTTTTTCCCTACCCATTCGCTAGAGAGTATTCCAGCTAGCTACTCTCGAACGGAATTCTAGTGTGTACGATTCTATTGCGCACAGTTGACGTGATGTGCCACAAAATATATCAATATACAGAGTGCCTCATGTGCTAGTCCGGTGGTGAAGTACACTATACGTCCAGCCTAAGCGTTGACATCAACAGAACAAAGACATGTGACAACAATAAGCGTCGTAAATCACTACAGCACGCTTTCTAGCTTACGTAACAGAAAGCACGTCTCGAAGCATCGTGCAGGAAGCTACCCGAACGAATACAAATAACATGTTAAACGCGTTAAATAACAAAAAAAAAACCTGAAGCTTATGTATTATTTTAATTGTGTCGGAACAGTTAAAGCTCATGACTTTTAATAGCGGGTCGTTAATTTTAAATATAACTTGAGTATTATGTGAATCGGGTTAATATTTAATTGTACCTTCTGAATGTTACGTTTGTTGTGGTGGGATTTTTTTTGGATTAATTTGTTTTGTAATTTTTTCATTGGAAAGGATTTGTAAAAGGTTGTTTTGGTTTAAAATTTCGAAATAAATGCTGCTTTCATTAAGTTTTACTGATATGGATAATATTTAACACGCTTTTATTAGATTGTTATCTTTGTATGCATGTTTGTTTGTTTGTGTGTATGTAACGGAATTTTTAACGTAATTTTCGTCAACTTAGGTTGAGGACCCCTGTGCTTTTTAGCAGTAAAATAATTTAAATTTAATTTGTGAATTTATTCCCGATCCTGCGAACAGAATTGAAAGCAGTCAACGTCGCCCAAAACACTGCATTTCGGATCCTCCCGATCCACTAACGGTGCTTTTAGGTACCTCAAGCACCGGTCATCGTCCTCGTCGAACCCGTCGCTAGCGACGAAAGGCTCGACGTATAAATTAACCCACAGACACAGCCCACTGAGTTTCTCGCCGGATCTCCTCAGTGGGTCGCGTTTCCGATCCGGTGGTAGATTCTGCGAAGCACGGTTCTTGCTAGGGTTCGTGTTAGTAACGTCGTCAAGTTTGAGCCGTGTGAGCTCACCTACTAGTTAAGGTTACCCTGATATGGTTTCTCTAGACTAGCCTTTCCCAAAGTGGGCGATAAAGCCCCCTTGTGGGCGCTGCAGGCTTAAAGGAGGGCGGTAAGAGACCCAGAAAAAAATGGGGGTGTTGTGTAGAAGCTTGGGAGGCAATTAGTAATTTCATCTAGGACTCTTAGGCACCGACTGAGCTCTCACTATAGTGATTTTTATGTATATGAAAAAATGGGGGCGCTAAAAAAGAATTTATTCTCAAAGTAGGCAGTAGACGAAATAAGTTTGAGAGCCCCTGCTCTAGACGATCAGCTTAGGTAGGAAGAAAAAATATGTGAATTTACGGTAGAACTAAAAAACCCCGTCTGCTCAGTATCTTCATCTTGTCGAATTTATAGATAGTATTTATGATATGTCAATCAAACTAAAGATAATATTGAGTATGGCATGTTGTTTTGAATATATTATTTGCATATTCGTTTAAGGGGTCGTTGTGTTATAAAAATATAACAGTTCATCGAATTGATTAATAAAATTTGCATTGTTATTATGTAATTGAATATTTTTGTGAATAATGAATACATAAAAATACTAATATTATACACGGGTAGGTACCACCGCCCTGCCTATTTCTGCCGTGAACCGTTTCGGTTTGAAGGGTGGGGCAGCCGTTGTAACTATACTGAGACCTTAGAACTTATATCTCAAGTTGGGTGACGCATTTACGTTGTAGATGTCTATGGGCTCCAGTAACTACTTAACACCAGTTGGGCTGTAAGCTCGTCCGCTCATCTAAACAATTAAAAAAAAGTTATACACTTCACACTATCATATTATGTAAATATAAAAACCAAAATTTTATATT